CTCAGTGCCTGTGATTGGCCCTGCGTGCTGACGGCTTCCTGGCGGGCTCGGCACGAGGCGCTTGCGAACACGCCCGAGCTCATCACTAATCTGCAACTTTAGACCTGACTCCCGCACCCCCCTCATTCAGGGGAGTGGGAAGGGCGATTTGCATATTAATGAGACATGGTGGGATTTGCATATGAATATCATGGCTCATTAATATGCAAATCCTGTAATTAGCATATGAATGAGCCGCGGCCAGTGTTAATGGCTCCTGCAGCTCATGTAAGGAGAACAAAGTCTTCAGTCCCTGTCCCACCCCCCAGAGGCTTCTGTCCCTGTCTTCCCCGACCCCCCAGAGGCTTCAGTCCCTGTACCCCCTTACCAGTTAGCAGTCCTAGCAGCAGTGAAGATTACACACACTTCCACTCAGCTGCTTCGCCATCTCCTCCAGCCGGACACAGGCAGGAGATAACTCCGGCCACCCCCGCTCTGCACTGTGACTGGCAGGGGAGAGGATTGCAGATTTAGCGTCCTTAGGTTCCGTGCGACGGTGACGTTTTTGACTTGCGGCCGCACGGAAAATAAGGACCCCTAAACCTCCCTCCTGCTCCTGACAGGGCCCCCTTCTGGCGCGGGCCCCATAGCGCCCGCATGGGTCGCTATGGCGGTAGTTCTGCCCCTGCATCCAAGAGACTATAACATACAGGGGTACAGGTACTCTTAAAACCTTAGACCCCAAGGGACTCATATCACACATGCACACACTACACACACACTTACACATAAAGGTTGAATTCGGTGGACCTGTATCTTTATTCAACCTCAAATACTATGTAACATTGCCCTAGGCTACTTAAAGTATTTGTGTGCATACTACATTAAAAGGCCATTGTAATATAGCAAATAGTATTACATTGGTGGTCAAATAGTAATTATTTTCAGTAAAAGTATTAACTTTTTTTTTTCAGTGGTCATATGACTACACAGCCTCATCATCATCATCACCATTTGGAGTTTGCTTAGTAAGTGGGTGGTTGTGTAGCTGGGCTTCTGGGCAGGCTTATGCACAGTGGGTGGGCTTACATATCACGCAGTGGTTAAGTATGTTACCTATCTGTGTGTGTTGCAGAAGCAGCTGCAATTTTGACAGTGAGGCTCCTGCTGGGAACCACTGACAATCTACAACAGCAGGGCTGGACAGGGGACATGGCTGCAAAACCGACCACAGGAGATAGAGGCACACACAGCATCCTGTAACTCTCAGCATCGTTCTCAGGGATGCAAACTGACCTCGCCAGCATGGATCTGCTTCTGTGCTTGGTGTGGTCAGTTTAAAACGGCAACCAAGGGGAACTGGCAGGATCACCAGGTATTTTACACCATCAGAATAAATAAAAGAGCTATTTGTATACACAAAATAATATATATCGGATCCTAAATTTTGTGTTAACTTACTCTTTAAACGTCATGCATAGCTGTGAATGTTATAAAAGTGTGGAGAGCTCGAATACTTTACAATATATTACTTGTCTTCTGCCTTTAAACCTGCTTATTCTTTCTGGGCTTTTTTACACATATGAAGTAAAAAAAAGGTTCATCCTACCAGTTTGTATTCAGTCAGCGAGACTCACTGACCTGCTTACAATGTATTGATGGCATTATCACCCTGTATGAGCACTCCCACATTACAACAGGCTTACATTGTGGCACACAGCATCCTACATGCTGTAATCCTGACCAGCCAGTAACCTCTCATTTAAAGTGTATGTCCAGCCAAAACTTCTTTTATTTTGGTTAGAACCCCTGTCAGCTTTTACTACTAGTCGGGGCTCCTTTGAGAGATTTCCCCCAATTTCCTGTACAGCTGACATTGTATTACCAGACAGGAAGTGAGGGAAACCCTCCAACAACAACACAAAGAGAAATAAAAAAAACTTAGGGGAAGACTAGAATTCCTGTTACACTTTTAGGCTCCTTTCACGCGGACTGATCTGGAGGTGATCCCTGCATGGATCGCCTCCTGATCAGAGCAGTACGGAGTGGATGTGACATCTGCATCTGTTCAGTTTTTCTTTTTCATCTTGCGAAGGAGGATACAATTGAAAGACCGCCCGGGTAAAAGGGGCCTTATTTCGGTCTGAGTGTCTGTTGCCTTTTTTTCTTCACTACATGAAGGAAGTAAAAGTAAATCTCTCTAAAAACCCCACATGGAGTTCCAATCCTTCTTATCTCTGTTCAAAACGACAAAAACATTTTTGTATTGACAAAACGTTTAGGCTTAAAGGAGAACTATGGGGTTAGGGATTTCCCCTATAGTTCTCCTAAGGGTAACGTAGCTTCCTCCCATCACCCAAAGACGCCGCAGCCGGAACGGATCCCGACAATTCTGTCTGGATCCACCCAGCTGCGTGAGTGACAGCTGGTTCTGCCTATCTAGAGGCAGAGCCAGCTGTACCCGCCCCCTCCCCGTTTATTCCGCCAGACAGCGCTGGAGGATCGGAGCAGGGAGGGGGGAATCCAGCCCCTCCCCTGTCACGGCAGAGAGCCCTGACAGGATCGAGAGGTGAGCGAACGCCGGTATGTGTTCGCTCACCTCCGGATCTACTCAGCCGACCTGTGACAGTCTCATTGTCACAGGTCGGCTAGAACTATGAGGTGAGTGAAAAGCACTCACCTCATAGTTCTCTTCCCTCCCCCGTCCGTTCCGCCAGTCAGCGCTGGAGGATCAGGCAGGGGGGGAATCCCTGCAGGGAGCCGTGAGTGACAGTCACGGCTCTCTGCACGGATAGATCGAGAAGTGAGCGAGCGCTTCTATGTGTTTGCTCACTTCCCGATCTACTGAGCCGACCTGTGACAGTTTCATTGTCACAGGTCGGCTCAGATTATGAGGCTGAGTGAAAATCAGTTGCCTCATAATTCTCCTTTAATGCTCCTAAAATATAATACAAGTGGAATGTTTTAAGTTGCAATTTCCAATTATACAACCTACAAAACTGCATCAGCCTATTCAAATGATCTTCCCTTACTGGGTAATGCTTATTATCTTGGTAAATTAGTTCCTGGGAAATGCCCTAATATATGACATGAATCAAACAAAGCTATAATTATTTACCTCTGGAATGTCATATCATCACTTGAGAATACAGTGTAAATAGTCTAGAACTCAGTTTGCCTTAGACCAGGCAAAAGAGAAACATGTTTCATGAAGGGGAAATCCTTATAGCTTCTTTTACTCTCATGTCCTATCATTTTTGTGCTTACTTTCAATGTGTGACGAATCATCAGGTAATTATATTTCATTCCCGTGATGATCCAGTGCATATATATATATTTATCTTTGCTGTAGCTAGTTCAGTTTGTCTGTATATGACACCATTAGCCGAGAAAAGTGGGTTCCTGCAATTTCTGAAATTACGACTTTTCTTTCCACTGTCTTCTTAAATCTGCTATACTATACAACTTGATTAGAATAACGGAATACATTATGAAGTAGGCACTTATAAATGACTTTATTCTTTTGTTTTTTTCAGGTCCATACAATGTTGGGACAGCTATTTATTTTTGTATTTCTTATTAGTCCAAGCCTGTCGTGTTCACTGTCAGATTTACAAGGTAAGTGTACATGCATTATCATGGCAATAAGAAAAGGAAGGACAGTGTCAGCACCAATTCAGAGATGATTGGAGGATCTACAGCTGAGCGATACACAAATAAGATACATTTTTGTTAATAGTTAAGGTACTTGAATGCATTTTTAAGATTTAACTCCTGAGTTTAGTGTCACTTTAAATCCTGAGACATTCAAGTGCCAGTAAATGTAACTTTATCTATGGAGAATGCATCTGCTATAGGTGAAGATTTCAAGAGACAAAGATGCATTGATAAAGTTGAAAGAAATTTTAAAAAAGACAGCTCTGCATCTATAGCCCTTTTTCAATGATTTCACAGTTAGTAATTATTCCTTTGTTGGAAACATGCAGTTTTAGTTTGTTATTCATGCAGACAGCACATACTGTATATCCAACAGTTTTCTTATCAGAAAAAAACACATTCATTTTTACTTAGAGATCACACAATATTCTTTCGTGTTTTCTTCTGGGCTGCTGACCACAAGTATGCATTCCTGACATGCTGACCATTTCCTGTTACAGCTACATTTTCCCCGCCTAAAAATCTGTTCTGTATAGTTGTTTGTGAAATATTTTAGAATATATATCAGTGTAATAAAGGAATATGTCGCAAATTAATATATTTTAGGATATGTAAAAAAGTATGCCCACTAAGGGGAAAGAAGTGTCTCTGAAAAAGTGCGGAATTGAAAGACATCATGTGCTGTCCATATTGTGCTGATGTTTTAGGTTTCAAGCTGTACTAGATTTCATGTTTGTGTTTGCAACATTATTATGTGCGGTTAGTCTGTTGCTTGCTCTCTGAATTTGCTGTTTTATTCCTGTAAAGTCATCATTAGAGGAATTGTTTTAGTTATACTTTGAAGATCCTGAAAAGCTTGTAGGGAGGTGACACAGCCCTTAGAAAGAAAAAAACATTAGAATATAAAATAGATTTACCTTTTGGCTGTTTCTTTGGTGAAGGCCTTTGTGCAAAATCCAAGCTACTCTGAGCAGTTAAAAAGTGATGGTCAGACTGAGGGTCAGACTGTGCTTCCTCTCATTACCCCATGCAATGCCTAGAATTATTTAACCCTTTGGTAGGGCAGGCATTGTTTTAATCTAGTTTACAACTGATAATGAAATCCTCCAGCACAGTACAGGCAGGTGTAGTTAGAGTAAACATAACTTTGCCCAACCCCCTCCTTAACATTACATAGGGAGAGACTAGGTATGATTGTTAGGCAAGAAAATGCACTTAAATATGTAAGCAGCAATTCTATTTTTTTTTTAAGTTATGCAATGTAAATGGAAACTTATAACTAATATAAAATAGGCGTTATCCCAATTTGACTGCAAAAGTGGAAATACACTGTAAGAAAGTTGTAGTTATGGTCTGCCTTTAATACAGGTGAAACTCGAATAATTAGAATATCGTGCAAAAGTAATTGCAGTAAGTGCTGCAAAAGGGGCCCAAACCAAGTACTGAGTACATATGCATGCTTGTACTTTTCAGAGGTCCGATATTGTTCTATGTACAATCCTTGTTTTATTGATTGCATGTAATAATCTACTTTTTTGAGGTTGTGGATTTGGGGTTCTTGGGGTTTTCATGAGCTGTAAGCCATAATCATCACAATTATGACAAATCACGGCTTGCATTATCTTGCTTTGCATGTAATGAGTCTATCTCATATATTAGTTTCACCTTTTAAGTTGCATTAGTGAAATAAATGAACTTTGCACGATATTCTAATTATTCTAGTTTCACCTGTATTATAAATGCGGTGCACCAGTTATAAAGCACAGAAAATTTTGGGTTTATATAAGATAAATATTTGTAAACATAGGAACATGATGTAACTTGTGTTTGTCTTTAGTAAACATTAAAGTGCAAAAATGTGTTATCCTGACTGTTAGACCAGGGATTATAACTATGGGGTCTATTCACGAAGCAGCCGAAGGATCTAGCCCAGCAGTGGCGAACCTATGGCATGCGTGCCAGAGTGGGCACGTGGGGCCCCCTCTGCTGGCACGCGAGCCCAGGTCCGCATTACCAAAGGGACGCAGCGATAGCGGTCCCAGTCCAATTAATATTGTTATACAGTAGTTCCCTCTCTCTCCCGCTGAACTGACAGCAGAAGAGAGGGGACTATTTTACAATTTTTGGCTGCCGCGGAGGAACATGGAGAGCTGCGGCAACCGACAATTAAGTCTTCAAAGCCTGTATTCATTAATACAAAGCCTGATGTGATTGGCTCGGCGCTGAGTCAATCACGAGAGGCTTTGTATTAATGAATACAAAGCCTGCCGTGATTGGCTCAGTGGAAGACGGAGGACACAGCGGGGATCGTGGACAAGGTAAGAGACTGTAATCCTGAATGTGGCTCTGGGTTACTGCTTATGGTACTGAAAATTAACCCCGAGCCACACTCGGGAATAGCGCCATGGATGTTAGTGGGTGCATTTAAACATTATTTTGGGCTATACTCGTCGTATAAGACGAGTATAGCCCAAAATAACCTATATTTTTTACACAAAAAGTGGGGGGTCGTCTTATACGCCGGCAAATACGGTAATAACTAATAGTAATTTCTGCCCCGGCTGCAGTATTAATCTACCCCAAGGATAATTTATTATTGCTGCGGGTAAGGGGTTGATTATTATTGCTGCATGGGTTTTTTTTTTTTAAAAATTGGGAAGGTAATAGAAACAGACCAAGATAGTGTAACATTGCAGGAGGACCTGGATAAAATAGGGGAGTGGGCAACTATGTGGCAGATGAGGTTTAATGTCGATAAATGCAAAGTTATGCACTTTGGGAGGAATAATAGGCAAATGGGTTATACAATTATGGGTATGCCGCTAGGGAAGTCGGAAATGGAGAAAGATTTGGGGGTCATTGTAGACCACAAACTAAATAATAGATTACAGTGCCAGGTTGCTGTAAGCAAAGCTAGTAGAATCTTGTCCTGCATCAAGAAGGGAATATTTTGCAGGGATAGGTCTATAATTATGCCACTTTACACATCAATGGTTCGGCCCCAAGTAAGGAGATTAAGGGGGGACATGATTTTCATGTTCAAAATGTTCCATAGTCATAGCAACATTAGCAACAAACTCTTTGAGATTAATTCCGTAACAAAGACTACAGGACACTACCTAAAACTGGTAGAAAAAAAATTTGAACATAAGGTGCGAAGGGGTTCTTCTCAGTTCGCGCGGGTTAGGGTCTGAAACTCACTGCCTCAAGCGGTAATTTCCGCAATTAATCTGGAATCATTCAAGAGGCTTTTTGGACAACTTCCTGAGAGACCGAAATGTACAAGGGTACAGGTACTCTTAAGAATGAGAACACATTAATGGACCTATACACACACACACACACAACAGGTTGGACTTGATGGACTTATGTCTTTATTCAACCTCAAATACTATGTAACTATGTAACAATAGCCCGTACAGCTCCCGAACTTAGCCGAGCGACTCAGTCGAGCCGAAGGCTTATGCCTCGGCTCGGCTGAGCCGCGCTGAAAGCCGAAGCTGATCTTACGGCTGGCTCCGGTCACTTGCAGAGAGATCAGCTAACCAGGTACATTGATCTCCAGACAGCAAACTCTCCCGGGCGCTCTGTGAGTCCCCCGCTCCCGGCCCCCCAGGAGAGAAACACTGCTTTTTTTTTTCTTTATTCTGACATCGAGCCGTGTCAGAATAGAAAAAAAAAATAATTTTTGCCCATAGGAATGCATTGCAAGATTCCTATTGGCTGTTTCAATTTGCAATAGCCAATAGTAAACTAGCATTGCACCCGCCCTCTGCTGCAGTTCTCCATCAGGTCCATCAGCAGAGGGCGGGTACTGAAATCAGCCATACCAGCCTGAAGTGAATAGCCGAACACCGTTCGGCTCACTTCGCTTTAGCTCGGTCATTCACTTGGCTGCCTACGGCAGCTTAATGAATAGACCCCTATGAGTTCGTTTTCTAGCATGTAGTGTGCTATCAATGGATTCCTTATTTATCGAAATTTAGGCAATCTGTCCTTAAGAAAAAAATGCCCAACTTCACCAGCTATAATACAGATATATAATACAATGTACATACATAAATAAAATACATACATGGGTTGATATGAGAGTGCTATACTTTCAGTGGTCACTTTTTTCTTAGCCTTGGCAATAGTTTGCTTGGCTGCTGGGAAGATATGCAAAAGTAAGCAAGATTCAATAGTGGTGCAAACTATTGTTTTTTGTTTATTTTTTTTGTTTTGTTTAGGAGTTCTCCTAATGTTTTTTTACTAATAGGTTGCCCCAATACTGTTGCAATTGAACGATGGGTGTCCCAGAAACCTATCCAACCTATTTCAAAAGAGAGTCCCAACAAATATGGGGGGGTGAGGTATCCTGGTATTAAGCAGAAGGTTTGGGTTGGGATCAATTAACATTTTATGAATAATGTATAGTTTGATTCTCTAGCCGATAAATTGATGAAACAGTTTGCTGTTACAGGAGGATTATGGGGAGAGTGAAGTACACTCATCCCCATAATTAGAGCTGACAAGTGACACTGCAGCTGTCACATGTCGGCTCTAAAGAGAACTATGGCCAAAACAGGTTGGGCCATAGTTCTCTTTTAAAGACTGGGTTTCTTCGCAGTCTTAATTTTTTATAATTCAGACTGAGGTCCCATTTCAAGCTTAGTAATGTAAGAAGGAAGGGGAAGGGAAGTTCGAAAATATTATAGAACTCTAGATGGAGGATGTGATTTTCGGAGAGTGGGGCTCGTTCTTTCAACTTGTGTTGCAGAACTGCTCAGACGCATGCATTCAAATGGAAAATGCAGCTCTTTACAAGAAAAGGATGCGTTTGACCTACTTGTGCTTGCAGTTTAAACAAAACCCAAGTCATGTTGCGCCTAAATAAACACTAGCGCGTCAAATGTAGCCTTTGAAATGTCATGTATATTGATGTCTAATTTGGTGACTTACATTTGCAATGCTCTTTAAAAAAAATGCATGTCAAATGCCAGAAAACAATTCCCATATGCATAAGCCATAATTATATTTTTCATGCTCCAGGCACTGACACAAATATATTTTTTTAGGATTTAGCCATTTTTTAGGATAGACCTTATATCTGTGGTTAACTTACAGTACATAATTTCCTTCACTCATAATTCATTTTGTATACATATTTTGTGGAGAGTTTTACTTATATATCAAATGCTTTAACTTGCAGAGGTTCCTGATGATGAAAATCCTGAAGTAGCTTACATTCCTGACGGAGAGCCATTTTTTGTCAGATGCCCACATGAACCCCCAGAGTCCAAAAAAAGTTACAACATTACCTGGTTTAAAAATGGTTCACACACAGAAATTTCTACAGATATACAGTCAAGAATTCACCAAGACAGGAACTACCTGATTTTTTTCCCTGGAAGGCTAGAAGATTCAGGTTTCTATGTATGCTTTTACCGGTAAGATAAACTAACAAGACCCTGGTATATGGGAGCCTTTATAGAATCCTTCCTCAAGAGTGTTGAAAAAAATATTTGTCAGTTCATCAAATGATAGCCAAGCATCAATAGGGACAGTGAGGAACTTCCTTCCACTGGGGTAACGTGCTTTTTGGCGGAAAATGCCAAATTCCTTCAGTTTGTTTATGTATATGTTGTTGTAGGAGAGGATTCAGTTTAGCCGCTTGGTGAGTTTATACTTATGGAACTCTTCAATCAGTCAAGAATTGGGCCTAATGGTCAAATTTCCCTTAACCTTTAAACCCATCTTGAGCCAAAACATCAACAAAGGAATGTTTATTAAACAATTGGAGGGATTAGAACATCTGTCAGGTTTTTATCGATGTCCTGTTGTCACTCGGGAAGTGAAGGAAGATATTACTGGTGAAAATACAGACAACAGTACAAACATGACAGAGGTTCTGACTCGTACTCACTCTATTAAAACGAAGGAAAAAAAAAAATTTCAAACTAACATGTTAGTCAACAATTTATATAGCAATTATCTAAAATCTGACTTTAGAAACTGCATCTGTATTAGGCCCCATTTTGCAAGATATCGCACAGGCTGTGATTACCTGAGGACAACTGCACCTGGACATAGACTGAACGCAGCAAAAGCGCACAGCACTGCGTTTGGAGATGTGCTCTGGGTCTGGTGTGGACATGGTGTGAATATAGCCTAACATGTACAGTAGACCCTATTTTGGCTGGGGTTGGTTGGTGAGCAGTGTGGGATGGCTTTCACAGATCTCTCATCCACTTCAAACACCAAATACGTGTGTGAAGGGGTCCAAACCAAAATTTCTAGCAAAATGTTGGTAACAACAGAAAGAGGAGAATGCTGGTATTTGCATGATGTCAAGGACAAGCACACCAAATCTGGTAAACTTAGAAAATACCGTAGTATAACTAGAATGGGTGCCTATTTGCGGGTTAAAATGGCCTTGAATTCCTCACTGTACGATTGCAGGAGTAAATATAAGCATATCGAAATCCAAAAAATAGGAATGTTGCCTTTTCTGTAAATTCCTTTTTTTGGAGTATAGTATAGAACACCATATACCTTATTGAACAGTTGTAGTAGTCCAACCTTATTGAACTACTACATACTGGACACTACTCCGAGAAAAGGATTTTAAAGGTAAGATCCTATTTTCCTAATTGTACAGCGCAGGACACAGGGCTTTCAGTCTTAGATCATGGGACAGCCGAAATACGTAAACTGAGGGGTGGGCAACACAGCAAACAAACTCTAACAGGCCACAGAACTAAGGTCAGTGGCGTGGAAGCCGAGTCTGAAACTCTATTTTGTATCCCCTGGAGATCACGTTCTAGACCCAAATATCTGCAATGTCCCAGGTCCACATGGCTGCGAACGCCGACAAATGTCCCCCCATTGTGAGGTGGGCTTTCAGCCAAAATTGTTAGGCCTAGGGGTCAAGGGTTTATGGCAGAATAGGGCACCGGCTATGGAGGTGGAGGCCTCAGAGATATAAAAGGAATCTTCTGCTGTTGTAGTGTCCAACACCAGCTATTAGTATTGGGAAGAGTATATTTTACTCTCCCAATACTTCTCCATTAAGCAAAATATGCATTGTTAATTTCCTGGTTATATATTTCATGTTTTAAACTATTGAAAGGAAAATAAATAATTTACCAGGTCCAAAGAATATATGCCATACAAATATACTCCCCTTATTTACACAACAGAATGATCCTATCTTAACAGGCTTGATTTCCATTGGGAACATGTAGTCTTAACCAGGTGCAATTAGTAACGTTTATTTTTTACAGTAATCTTTTCTTTTCTTACATACGCAGAGATGCCGAAAAATGTTGGAAGCAGCTTTTAAAAGTAGACGTGTTTCAAAATGATAATGATTTATGTTATAAAAAGGAAGCTTTATACAAGTATGACCCAATTTTTGACGGATCGCTGACAATCGAATGTCCATTTGTACCTGACCTTGTCAATTCTGGGACCGCCCAGTTCTTCTGGTTTAAGGTACCTAAATATTTTAATTAATATGTGTTGTTTATACTGGAGGAAATTAAACTATAATCTTTTTGGAAACATAAATGTGTATGGAATAATGTTTATAGCTATCTCAAGAGTTTTAGTCAGCAGTTTTCAGTGGCCTGGGCACATTGAAAGTGGATGTCTCGCATTGTTTTACTTAGGGTTCGTTCGTATAGTTGTTATAACTGCATAGATAATCACAGGCTCAACACAAGGACACATAGAAAACAATTGTTTTCTATGTGCCCTGTTTACACTATACATGTGTGGTGGTGTGTAGTGCATAAACATTTAGCACGCATCACAACTCACTGCACCACATGCCACAACGTTGTAATGCACTGCAGTGCATAAAGATGAACAAAATTTAATTTTTTGACATTTTATAAAAGATAGAAAAAAGAAATAAAAGGTAAACAGTGTGATGCCCTTCAAACCACGCACCAGCAGGGCTCATTATATAGAGCATAAAATGCCCTATTTGGTGTGAACGAGCCCTAAAGCTGGCCATGTATACGTTTTCATTTCATTCATTATCAGAATGTTCATTTGATTTTCTAATAGCTAAAGTGGTCAAATTGGTGATTGTTTTGACCATAGTGATGAAAAAAATCAAAGGAACAGGATAGAAATTTTTTCTCGAATAATGAATGTGGTTTACGAGAAAATCCATTCATTCTAAAATCACATGTTAAAATCAAATAATATTTTGAATGACATTCTATAAGTCCCTCATGGCATTATGGAATGTTCTTATGAGATTTTTCGTATGAACATTTGCATAATAATATACCAGTGTATGGCCAACTTTAGTCAGATGAAAGTATGTATTAGTTTTGTGCACTGCAGTACCACCCAGTGATGTAATGTGAACTATATTAGTGCAGATGTGAAGAATCCTACTATACTATAATTAAAGAAGAACTTAAGGATTTTTAAAAGTTAAGCCCTGCAGGGGGGCTACCCCTGCACTGCAAGGGTTAAGTGTTCGTTTTGTTCTAGGGGTGAAAACAAAGTTGAAATACTCACCTGATGTTGCAAAGTCATCCAGTTGTTTCATTATTGCCCTTATTGATGCAACATCTGCATATGGGGCACACAGGCCAATAACTTGAAAATATCTAACTATATAGGCCTATTAACCCCCATTATGGGAAAGTATTATTTTTCTCTGATGGGAGACATACAAGCCTCCCCCTATATGCTAAGCACTCACCGAAGATGGACTTAGGTCTCTAACACAGCTTCTCTCAGAGAGTAGGCGATATCATGGCACATGGTTACAATATACACAGCTTCGGGGGTTACTATAACAGGTTGCAACCTCAAGGGCGAATAGAAAGAGATCTAACCCTATTTGAGAAAACTTGTATAGAGTCCAGGGAAGGCACGCAGGTAATCTCAATGAGTATATCAGATTTTATTAAACGATGCGTTCGCTAATAGGCTGTATTTCACAAGGGAATGGGAGAAAGAGCTGAATTATACACTTTTGGAAGAAAAATGGAAGTGTTGCTTCGTACTTACACATAAATCGACTATTTCTTTTCAAGCTCAGGAATTAAACTTTAAGTTGTTATCACGGCGATATCACTGTCCAGTGACATTACACAATATTTTCCCTGTGATTTCAGATCACTGTTGGAGCACTGGGAGCCACCATGCTCCATGTTTGGTGGGCATATAATAAGATCCGGCCATTCTGGGAGGGCATCTTTAGGGTAGCATGACAGGAAACTGGGACTGTTGTGGACCCAGCCCCAGAATGTTTTCCAGGACCTCTCACTTTAAATCAAGAGGGGGCTCCTTCATTTCCTGATAATGGCTGCAAGAAAGTTGATTCCCGGATACTGGAAATCTGCGATAGTCCCGACGTTGAGGGAATTGGTGGAGGAAGTCAACTACTAGAAGTGAATGGAGGAAATAGTAGCCCAATTCCATGACAGATATTCAATGTTTGAAGAAACTTGGTACAGGTGGCAGGCCTTTATAAACACTACATATTATCTCTGAGGCAGTTAAAGCAGCATGGAGGATCAGGGTGGGGGGGATGGGGGTTGGGGTGGGGTGGAGAGCAGGGAGAGGAGTGGGGGAAAGG